AAGACAGCGCTATTCATGACCTTGAACAGATTCTTCTCAAATTCATATTTTGCTTGTTTACGGAGTTCTGTGTTTAGGTCTATGTATGATTTCAACCACGTAGCTTGCCGGAACTTGAAGACTGGATGTATTTTTTTCAGCACTAAACCATGTTTTAACACCTGTTTGAGGGCTCGGTTGTGAATTACATACTCCTCCTTGAAGCGTAGGGTCGCCATCAATTTAGTGAGTTTGCGTACGGATTTGGAAGGCTTTCCAGTCTTAGGATTGATATGTTGAGGACAAAAGTGAATACCTTTATGAATATCATGTAGGTGTTGTGAATAATCCAAGTCGATCTCCAAAATATACCCTTCATTTGCATCTTCAGGAATAGTTGCCACAACGATATTGGTGTCAGTCCATGCAAAGCCTTCAAAAAGGAATCAGGTTTCGAAGGATCATATTCAGGAATATATTTATTGTTTGCATGAGCTCTTCTTTCTGAACAAACTTGACTGAGACCTCCTCGGATGCCTTGTTCAACAAACAAAAACATGTCAGGATCAGTGATAAGTTCCGACTCCTGAATCGTATATTTCAACATGGCGTCCCAAGTGAATCCTGGTGGGGTATAATAGTGTGCAGGGCATATACGTATTAATAAACAATACGGATCATAACGGGTGCCAGGATGAAGTCAAAAATATGAAACAAATGAATATCCATAAGGATTTGGTGGCATGATACGCATGCGCCATGCGCTATCACAGTAGTCATCAAAGACATGCGTTTCGGTGGACAATGACGTTTACTAGCCTTTCAATTAAAGCAGTATGTGTCTGATCGTTTCAAAACGTTTCCTTATGGATAGTCATTTGTCTTCAAAAATCGGCTTCATGTTTCGCTATGGAAACAGATAGAGATTATCCGTATTGATTATTAATACGTATATGGTGCAGGGTCAGGTTAGGTTCAAGTTCTGAAGCAGCTAGTACGAAACTGTTCAAATACGTCTGCGAGAAGAAGAATATCAGTCATCATGTATAGATCCAAGTACTGACCCAAGTCTGGCAAGCTTTTTTGTCTAATTTATTATAAAACGCATCAATTGGAGGTAGCCGGGTTTCGCTGAAACGCTCAGAAGAGTCGAAATTCATACGGCATCACACCTTTCTTAGTTAGAAGCTGAAGTTGATATTCGGCGAAGCTTCAGAATTGGGACCTCAAATTGGGGAATTCAGTTAAATAAGTAGCTAACTTGTCCATAGAGGAATTCATGAAACGGAAGCTATCGATAAGTCTAAACTGAACACAAGTTCCGTCCACATGTTTAATTAATGTACTTCTCCTCTGTTATGGGCAGTAGGTCGATAGTTCCTTTCATTCTAGTGGCGATGTCAGTTAGTACAGAGTTTGCATCGTTACCGTTCAAATTATGGAATACAACAGGCACCACAGGAGTGTTTTTATAATTCATATTACAAGAATTGTGGGCAGCTCCTCTGTAATTTTTTTCTGGAACTAAGTGATTATGGTCCCTCACTCACACAACATCAAGTTCAAATTGCTGCTCACAAATGTGGCAATGTTGGGCATTTTGAAAATCTACTTCTTGTTCTGAGGTCATATGAATATCATAAGGACACCAGAATACGGTAGTTATATCTTCTGCCAACTGCTTCATTTCATAGGCGAACCATTCCATGCAGTCTTCTCCTCGTGCTGCTATTTCTGAGCTTTCCTTTCAGATTTTTTGTTGTCAATACTTCATTGCATGTGCCTGTAACTGTTGACATTCCTCGAACTCACAAAAGTATGTCACTCGATAGCCTTCCTCCCTTCTGACTAACATACTAGCAAAGGATCGATTTTCGGACTATCCTTTCCTTGCCGTTCAATGAAAGTTTGAGATATTGAGAATATGAATCATTCAACTGTTTGGAAGCTGCCAAGTCAATTTTTTTTATATTCACGAACATTTTCATATCTTCTTCTGTTACATCATTATTCAAATCCAGGTAATATTATGTAAATGTACCTTATTCTTATATTCACTATTAATAAATAAGTAATTAATTGTCCAGGTAATTGTTCTCAATTTTAGTTATAAAAGCTCAAGTAATTAATGAAATCAACTTATTGTGCTCTCTGAAATATGCACTGTCCTATCCTATCTGCTGACATATTATGCAAAAGCTTATAAAATACTGAATTTTCGTGAAAAAGAGTTTAGTTGAAGAAAAAGTATAGCATACAACTCGTGTTGTAATGTAATTAAGCACTCGTAACTTTCTCCACTTCATGCCTAACATTCGTTTAACCCTCCAGTACTAACATGATTTTAATAACATTAGAACTAAAATATCTGTGTGAAACTGAATGTAAGAAATGCTATTTTTTTGTCTTGTACTTAGAAAGTGATTTCATTCATAAAAATGCATTATTTTTACATTACTTATAATATGAGATACAATAAACAATTAGGTTCAAAGTTGTCTTTACCAGTGAAAAATGGATTCCTATACGTTTTGGTTGAGAATATCGTCTTGATGTACGGTAATGCATTCTAAGTTTGGTTCACGGAATCTCCTGAGCGCCCTTAACAGAATCTTCCTCACTGAAGTCTGCTTGGTCATCTGCCACCAAAACTGCTATTACATACTATCCACTAAGACAATTTGTTGGTGACTGAATAAAATTAAGCTAGCTAGCCGCCCAACTGAATCGACTTGCGCTGCACAATAATATGAGAAGAATAGTGGGACCTCGGTCTCTCAGATGGCATGTCAGTACTGAAGGGTTAACAACTTTTAATGTTATACTCTGTGTCCAAGATAAGGATGTTCTCGAGAATGTCTATTATGGGGATCGTTTTTATTTTTTCTGACGTTATTTAAAGAGATATAGGAAAACAAAAGACACTTTCCCATTGGCACTTTTCAAGTTCTACAAAACAACCTTGATATATTTTCCGTAGGATGTTTCGTTTGGGAAATATCATCCTAAATTTTACCCCATGATAGACATCCGTATCTTGGACACACTGTATAGTACTATAATAAACACCACTGCCTGCATCAATTTCAAAATACAACTTGTATTTGCCTGCATCATAATATGTATGTTGTATCATAATCAATAAACTATTATACTTGACAGTAAGTAAATATCAATATGCACAGCACCTGGTTCAACTTTGTCCAGTATAAGATCTATTTATTTACTATTGGGTCATGAAAAAATCAAGTTGCAGCTAAGTGAACTTACATTTTTTTGAATAGAGTGAAATAGTCTCTATCCAGCTGCTGATAATAGTTCATTCCCCCCCCCTATCGGGTACTATGGAGTATTGTGCATTACTTCTTGGTACTGCAAGATACTGCAGTGTACTGTGAGATACTGTGACTGCCATTTGTACAAGTATTGAGGAAGTGAGAGACCCCTGGCCTTTTATAAAAGTTATGATTTATTCCAATCCTGGCCTAGGCAGAGAAAGAACACCTTTTCTGCCTGTTTAAGTGACATAGAAAAGCCACTTTTCATGTAATATGAAGAGAAATCATTTATGCTAATCCAAAATTTCTGCCTGATTATGTGAGAAAATCCTTATGAGAATCTTGATGGAACATCAGTACTACAAATTTTCAACTATGCAGATGTTCTTTATGGCCTATGTCTGCCCCTGGGTCTGCCCAAACCACTCAATATAAAAAACAATTTCAAAAAGTTCAGAACTTTTTGGTATTTGTCCATATGAAATTGGAAAAGAAATGGGTGGTTGATGGAAAAAAGTAGGATACTTATTTCAAGCTTCTTCTCCATAAAATAATTCAGAATAATAGTGAAGAAAATTCTTTCACATCTGCATTGACATAAGAATTAAAACTGAATGTACAATGTAAAGACCTCGGTAAAGACTATTTATTTGAAATAAAACTGATATTATATGACTGCATGATATCTCAGTTGAGTCAAGAACATTTTCTGTGATGCAAATCATTGCAGACAATGAACTTTGAATTTACTGAAAGCTGAAGGAATAAATTAATTATGTACATTTCCATATCATGGTATAATGAACGCATCATCATTATTATCAATAGATAGTAGTATATGTTGATACTTCATTGGTATGTATGTACTATGTACCAGGTGAACAACTAAGAACGGCTGTGGGAGTGATCTGGAGTATCAATAGATATGGTGAATTAAAGATGTAATGTATGCATATGATCAAATAGAGAAACTAAATCTCAATAGACCAACAAAAACTGCAACATGATAGCTTTTTGCTAACAAAAGATATTGACAATCAGTTGGAAAAAGGATTGATGACAGCCATTCTTAGTTGTTCACCCGGTACATAGAAGCTGGCCCTCCAACTGGCCATCAACCTTGATTCAGGTCCGTCAGCTCAAAGTGTTATAAATGATGTGTTTGATATGTTCTGTGCAGGCTTTGTTAGTAACTCCTACACCACTTTAAGAGGAGCACTTTTGATTGGAACACAACAGTGAATCATGCAGGATTATCCCCAGCCCAAGCTCCCAAAACTTTGCAATATTCAATTCATAATCAAAATATTTAAAAAATCCTTGCCCTGGCTGGGATTCAATCTCACCACCTTATTATTATTAATATTATTGTAATGACTGAGATTCTGTCATCAATCTCAAGATATGTTGAACAGTTCTCTACCCAAAACTTGTTTGTGAATAGAGCAGCAAAGCTTCAGAATTCTTTGCCTGGGGCATCTGAGGTAGTAACTTAACCTCCAAAAGTTTAACTCTCCTCATGCTCCCCAGGTATGCAAGATGATCTATGAACACAATTGAGATTCCCTTTGATGCGCTCCAAAAGATAAAATAAAATCAGACTTGACATAAATTATATGTGTACTTTTTAGAAGGTGATAATTCAACTTCAACTCTCTTCAGAAATATAAGATACATTATAAAAAAAAAACAACGATCATCACCGATCATCACAACCAAAGAAAACAAAAAGATTTTACTTACTTTTTATTAATAATTTTTCTTTTTCACTCAAACTTGGAGGTTTGTCCATTGCATTCATTATAGATCCTAGTAAATCCATTTTCTTTATATTGTTGGGATTGCGATTTGGGATACACTTTTGTCAAATATAAAGCACACCAATCTCCATGTATATATATAAAACAGAATCCTACTTCTTAAAAGTTATTTACTTATTTTGCTCGTATTAAAATTCGAAGTTCATATGATAATTTGATAATTATGTTTTATTATTATTTTCACAAACTTCACCCATTAACTTTTTTGAAATGTCTTCTTGCTCCTTACTTCTTCTTATTTTATGTTATGCTGTGTCAAGAGTATCAAGATCAAGACGTTTATAATTCCCATATGTCTACTATTTCTATATATGGCGCATCGCTATAGGATATTTCAGCAGAATCTATAAGGACTAGGGAAGGGTACGAACAGATCATAGCTGCATTCTTTTTCAATGATCTAGAGTTTTGTCTACTGGCATCCCTGGCATTGCTCCATTGCTGTCACGTCACATCCATGGGCGCTACAGAAAATCATTCAAAATTTCAATAATAAATATGTACAGGGTATTTACTTGTTGAGGAAGATCATATGGCGAACGAGTTTTGTAATTATGATCCGATGCTATTCAAAATTGGAAGGTACGTGGGGTATTCCGGGGTTGGAGATGATGATTGTTTCGTGAAACTTGGAAAATTCAAGATGACGGATCTAATATGGCGAAAGACATTAGTTTATATAATTATTACTCTACCACAAATAAAAAATATGTAGGATGCAAGAGTGAAAATAACGTGCAATTTATACGCGTATACTTAGCGTATACCTACTTCGTTGTTACTTTCATCAATAAATTATTCGAAAATGACTTTAAAAGAGAGGGAAAAATCGTGTGTATAACATGGGGGTGAAGTATATTCTATTCTTCATTTTCCTGCACATTTTACTGTTTAATTTTTTATCAGCTTACTTTTCGTCCTTGACGAAGTTTTATACATGGTGTGATATAAGTAACTCGATAAATCCTTCTCCGAGTTGGATTTCTGAAAATAAATTTAGCATACATGACATGAGTACAGTAGTCAAGATACGCACATCGAAGTTTCCACTATTTCTCAATCATAAGGCTCAGTTCATTCAGCTCATATAGATAAACTACTGCTCAGCTTGAAATCAAAATTCATTCAGTCAATTCAGTCAACCCTGGTAAACAGTCTAAGAACAGTCTCTTTTGTTGAAATATATTAAGCTTTCAGTACAATTTATATGTTACCTAAATCGCGAAGATTATGCTGGAGTAGTAAACTCTTAAACTAGAGGATTGTTCATTTATATCTTGGTATAGTTGAATTAGGAATTCCATATCGATACCCTAATGCTGATATGTCGTAACCCACCTCAATGAAATTTCACAGGAGGCACGAAAAACGAATAATATTATGAGAACTAGAAAACGGACGTAACCCACAAAATAAATAAGTAAACACAGTTTGTTCGAATACATCGTAAACCACAACTTGGTTCCAACAGGCATATTCTTGTATAAAAAAAAAGGTTTTTGGTATTTTATATTGAAATACGAATACAAGATGCTTCTTTGACGCCGAGGTAAAAAAAATATCACCTACCTATTTTCTCGTTTCACTAATGCAGAGCACCATGTCAAACTAGTCAGCTGCTATCAACACGCTCTGCTTGTTTGAACTGCACTGTGTAATACGACTAGTTAGACGTGATATAAATGCCGTAAGTGGGTTCAGACATGTTGGAAATCGCGGGAATCACCGATTTATCATTTTATTCGGGTTACGAGAATTTAACAGTATAAAGAAATGCATGTGTACTATCCTTTGGTGAAAAAATACTATTTTTCAATTTTTTGTGGGTTACGACTTATCAGCATTAGGGTATCGATATGGGAAATATGTATGATACGCCACTGACCTCAATATAACCTGAAAAACAACGAGTGTCAAAAATCGAGTGTTTATCCCATATACGTATTAATAAACAATACGGATCATAACGGGTGCCAGGATGAAGCCAAAAATATGAAACAAATGAATATCCATAAGGATAATATGCGCCATGCGCTATTATAGTAGTCATCAAAGACATGCTTTTCAGTGGACAATGACGTTTACTAGCCTTTCAATCAAAGCAGTATGTGTCTGATCGTTTCAAAACTTTTCCTTATGGATAGTCATTTGTCTTCAAAAATCGGCTTCATGTTTCGCTATGGAAACAGATAGAGATTATCCGTATTGATTATTGATACGTATATGGTTTATCCCCAGAATTGAATAAGGATGAAACTATATAACTGTTTCACAAACACTTCAGAGTGAGAGGAGACGAGGATCTGTCCGTACCCTGTTAAGATGACTTTAACGTCAATTTTCATCAAGGGACCCTAATAAGGACGGAAAGTGAAGAATGAAAACAGCCATATCGATCATTCTAGAACACGGGATTTTGACATAGTTTCTTGAGGGGCACACAAACTATCTGTTAGGTTACCTTTGATGGGCATTGCCCTGGCCATCCCTGCCACATCATAACAGTTTCACCAAACAAAATTATGAAATTCTTTCTGGTTCCAACTCGGATTCCAAGGAAGATGATCCCACTAATTCTGGCTTTATATGACAAATCTTGACAAAATACAATGTTTGCCCCTCAGCAACCTGTCAAATGACGTAATTCTGGAATGATTAATTGGTTCAACAAGTTTCATATTATTCTTCCCTACGTCGGCATCAACGCCTATTGGACGATTTCATTACCTATAGAGACAGGAGTTGGTCCCGCTACTCCCGCTTCGAGGACAGCTTTGCTTCATACAGGGTGAGTCAAAAATGTGTGCCGAGCTCTCTGGGGGTGATAGAACATTGAAAAATAAGTGTAGTTTGATAATTAAACTCATGGCCCAAAATGCATATTAAGGGAGATATATCCTTCCAAAGTTGATAAAATTAAAATGATTTCTCCGCATAACTTCTGAACGATGAAAGCCACCTGATTGAAATTTTGTGCATGAATGTATGTTGTCAAAATACATTTTTTCGTCATACTTCCACATTTCTGATATTGTTATAAAGGGTGTTTTCAGAGGGTGAGGCATGATTTTTTGTAGAAAACTTTTTTGCCTGTATTATTTTCGGTGAAAAAACAGAAGCATTTGATGGAGCGAAGAAAATTACATGAAAAAGGTACTCCTATTCAAATACAAAAAATTGATCCGTTCGTGAGATATTCGAGTTTTTGTGGTTACATGATATCAGCAGATTGATTTTATTCATCGCGAGATTCATCGGTAACAATATTTTAGCAGGCCATGATGAATAATTTTGTTCTCAATTTTGACGTTCATGTCATCAACATTCGACTCAACATTGTTGTAGTTGATTTGTTCGTGTGGTTTTTCTGTGTCATTTATCACTGCGATTATCACTGAGATTTCAAGAAATATGGCAGGTTATTCGTTCTCTGAACAAATTGATATGCTTCTAATGCTTGGCGAGTGTTTCGGAAATGCAAATGCTGCTGTGAGACGATATGCAGAGATGTTTCCCGCTCGACGCGTTCCAAATTCGAGAACAATTTTGAGGATTGTACAAAGACTGCGTGAAACAGGATGTTTGAAAACCAATAATAGAAATGGTGGCCGACCCAGAAGTGCGAGAACTGTAGAAGTTGGAGAAGAAGTATCAAATACTGTGGAACAGGATCCGGAAATAAGTACAAGGAAATTAGCAAGACGATTAGACACAACACAAGCGAATGTAACCAGGATTCTCAGAGAGCAACAGCTACACGGCCTTATCATCATTTGCAGGTACAAGAACTGTTACCACGAGACAATGAAATAAGATTGAGATTTTGCGAAGAGTTGCTGGAACGAAATCGAAGATGTCCTGAGTTTTTAAACAAAATATTGTTCACAGACGAAGCAACTTTTAGAAGAAACGGTGTTTTCAATTCGCGCAACACTCATTTCTGGACTGACGAAAATCCACACGTACATGTTCCCAGGGTCTCTGAATGATGCAATGTACCTCAACTTCTTAGAAAATGAGTTAGGTACGATATTATAAGACATTCCTCTCAACATACGTAGGGAGATCTGCTTTATGCATGATGGAGCACCACCTCATTATGTAAGAGTTGTACGTGAATGGCTTAATGATAATTTTCCTGATAGGTGGATAGGACGAGGCATAGACGCTCCTATTTCCTGGCCCGCTCGTTCGCCTGACCCCAATCCACTAGATTTTTCGATCTGGGGTTACATGAAATCTAGGGTTTATTCAAGCGAAATTCGGAATGTTGAGGAGCGCTGAGGCAAAGAATTGTGAACGAATTTACGTATATTATTATGTACGTATATATTTATGTATAACCGAAAACGGTGGACATTTCGAACAGCTACTTTAATTTGTTTTTTTCCTTTTTCTTCCATCCAAAATTATGTATTGATAAAAAGTACCAAAAACATCATCAAACTTTTATTTTTATTCAAACCTTGTTGGGACAGACTTATGCTATGTACTTATTGCTCAGTAACGTGGCACAGGGAGGTGATATTCTCGACAAAATTAAAAACAAAATTGTTCATGGCCTGCTGAAATATCGTTATACATGAATCTCGCGATGAATAAAATCAATCTGCTGATATCATGTAACTACAAAAACTCAAATATCTCACGAACGGCTCAATTTTTTGTATTTGAATAAGAGTAACTTTTCAATGTAATTTCCTTCGCTCTATCAAATGCTCCTGTTTTTTCACCAAAAATAATACAGGAAAAAAGTTTTCTACAAAAAATCATGACTCACTCTCTGAAATCACCCTTTATAACAATATCAGAAATGTGGAAGTGTGACGAAAAAATGTATTTTGACAACATACATTCATGCACAAAATTTCAATCGGGTGGCTTTCATCGCTCAGAAGTTATGCGGAGAAATTATTTTAATTTTATCAACTTTGGAAGGATATATCTCCCTTAATATGCATTTTGGGCCATGAGTTTAATCATCAAACTACACTTATTTTTC